GTGAAGAATCAAGAGCAAAACCTGACAAGTTCGAGACGGGAAAAGCCAGCAAAGGTTCTAATATCGAATAATAAAATGATTGAGTGAATAAATAATAAAACGATCGAACAGTCTGTTAGTTTGATAATCGAGAGTTAATATTTCTCGCTCTGCTGGTTGCTACACAGTTATAAAGATTATAATCATAATTTAGAGAAATAAGATAACTGATAGAGTGATGATAAAATTTTAATAACTTAAGACGAAACCAATTATAGCGGCGGAATATGGCATGGAAACAGACACTATGACGTTACAACGTTTTGTTCTTCGCGATCAACGGAAGCATCCGACAGCAACCGGTGATCTTACTAATCTTTTGACATCATTGCTTACAGCTATCAAGGTAAATTATCCTAACTTTTCGAACTTGAATTGAAATAATAGGAACATAGATCTTTACAGATATATATTTTATGAAAGGTAGGATAAACTAAGATATTTCAATTCAAAAACGATAATGAACTTTGATTGCAGAAATACTACAGCAAGAGATAATAAATAGGAAAACATTGTTATTTGATTAACAGTTATGAATAAGATAACTTTAACTTGCTAAATTGGATATCTTAGTGGGGAACTGCCATTAAACTTTGAAAAAAAATTGCAACATAAACTGAAATGTGATAAAATTTGTAAAGAAATTTAGGCGATCTCGAGTGCCGTCCGAAAAGCAGGCATTGTACGATTGACAGGATTAGCAGGCAAACAAAACATACAAGGTGAAGATGTAAAAAAACTGGATATTATTAGCAACGAATATATAATCAACATGCTTGAATCATCATATACTACATGTGCAATGATTTCGGAGGAAAATGATGAGGTATTGGATTTCATTTATCATGATTTAATTTCTTGAACAAGTAGTATCCTTCTTTTGATTAAAATAAATTATGGGCATAATTCTGAATAATATATGCTAGATTAATGAAACTGCAAACTTTTCCTTCAGTGTTTTGAAATTAAGTTCAACAGCATCATCAGTGATAGTATTAATGATATGCAAGTAACATTTAAATTGCATAATTTTAAGCTGATCAAAGTAGCACCTTCTAAACAAGGCAAGTATATCGTGACATTTGACCCACTGGATGGATCATCAAATATTGACTGCTTAGCATCAATTGGCACAATTTTCGGAATTTATAAAAGACAATCTGATAGTCCCATTTCCACGGCTGACTTTCTACAAAGTGGACGAAATATGGTTGCAGCCGGTTACGCTTTGTATGGTTCCGCCACTATGCTCGTGCTTTCAACGGGAAGTGGCGTTAACGGATTTACACTCGATCCAGTCTGTACATCCCTTTTCGTTATTTCAGTTGAGAAAAAATTCTAAAAGCATATTCCATTAATCTAGAGTATGGTTATTTGAGAAATATTCAAATTCATTATAAACACTTCAATATCCTTAAGACGGCTCCAACTTTAACTTTCATCGAAATTCTTTTTAACTCATTCTTTATGGATTCCTAGAATTTCAGAGTGTTGGTGAATTCATCTTAACAAATCAGCAAATGAGAATACCGCAGAAAGGTAAAATCTATAGTGTCAATGAAGGATATACATCTAAATGGTCTAAAGGTGTCCAAGAATACATACATACCAGAAAATATCCATCACATGGTGAACCTATGAATGGACGCTATGTTGGATCCATGGTTTCCGACATACATCGTACACTATTGTATGGTGGTATTTTTATGTATCCTGCAATGAAGGATAAGCCAATGGGAAAGGTATTTCTTTTCCTGTAATTTTCTTCATCGATCTCGCTATAGTTGATCTTGATTCTTTACACATATACTCCTCATGGATATTTCCTGGTTCGTAGTCACCAATGATAAATAATCTAGTTTGGTAGCAAATAAAAATATCGAAGAAAGATTAAATCACTGATATCAATAAAGGAATATATACACCTAAAGAGTAAAAAAAAAGACGATGAATAATTTGATTTATACTGAAAGGCAAACTACTAAAATTAACAATTAGTTTAGCTTCGGCTGCTCTACGAAGGCATTCCAATGTCATATATCATAGAACAAGCTGGTGGAATGGCAACGAACGGAATCAAACCCATACTTGATATTGTGCCAACATCAATTCACGACCGGAGTCCATTATTCCTTGGCTCTGCGGATGATGTACAGGAACTTATGGACTTCATCAAGAAATACGATTCATAAAAAGCATGATGAACTAAGATGAAATTATATTACATGGTTGACATACTTTTGTCTCTGCATAAATTTACCTCAGTTTCTAGTATGAATTTATATTATGCAGATAAAGACAATATACTACCTGTAAAATTTTGTACGGTTTTGACAACATTTTGGAATCCTAAACCAAAAAAAAAATTTCATACCAGCTAAAAACAAAAGAAAAGAAATCTTACATAGTGCCAACGGGAAAAATGGGATTTTCTGGGAAAAGCGAGAACTGTGGATCAGTTTGATTTCCATTATACAATATGTTGGAAAACAAGGGCATTTAAACAAATGAAGCAAAGACAACCCTTTTTCCCAGAAAACTAAAGACTGCCGAAGGGATTTTTGAAAAGAAACATATTATCAAGTGGAAAGTTTGAGGAATATCAATCTGAGCATCTAGCTGCTCATAGATGTCATATTCAACAATAAACTAATTTGTAAGAAAATTTCGTAAAAATCACTGTAGTAATAAGGAGGTCTTTGTAAAACAAATACCAATGCAAGATAAAGCCTAGCGAATTTGGCGACTTCACCTGAATGTAGCATTTGTAATATTGTAGCACAACAATATCAGAAATGTTCGTTTAGCCTAAGCAATGACACCAGTAAGCTAAAGTGAAAATAATCTTAACTTGTCTACGAAATCTTTTTACATCATGGACTCTAGAGTTAGTGATGACGGATCTATAAATTAAATAAAAAAGTGTGAAAGAATTCTTCAAGGATGTAATTTCATTACCACGAACTTTTTAATTCAGTAAATAGCAATTACAATTTGAGCACAAAAATGATGAAAATCAACAACCATCATAACTAGAGAGGAAGATGCAATACAACAAATCTACTCTGGATAACCACACTTTTGCTCTATCACAGCAGTGTCGTTTCTTTCAGGAACAATCACTTCAAAAAACTGCTTCCCATCCCTGCATAATTACAAAAGTCAAAAAACCGATCCAAGCTCAAATGTCATGTGAAAAATTGCGGTAGAACCTGTTCAGAGTAGCATAATGTAATTGCCAAACAATTTACGGTTTACCATAGTCAATTAATTAAGCTATTCCAGATAAAATGTCCCATCTATTAACCATTAGTTTTCATTCAATTTCCTTCACGATGCTTGCGTAACTTTCATGAGAACTGAATCTTCACAATCACAGAAAAAATACATATTACAACAAAATATGCAAGCAGTTAAGCTTGGAGCGTGGTTGGTTACGAAATAGTAACACATGAGAACTTAACAACGAAACGTACGCATTAAAACCCAAATTTAACAGTAAATTAAAAGTGAGCTCACGAACTTGAGAGGTATAAAATCCTATGTTGTCTAAAACATCCTTCCCTAGCCTGTGATAAATATCATAGAAAATTCTATCTTCTCAAAGTCCCTCACCTTTTCACTTATATGAGACAAACAAATCGTACACTAATAAAAGTGCAAAATCATTTAAAAAATAAAAACGTGAGACAGAACGGTCGTGAATTGGAAAGACAATCTTAGAGCAAACAACTGAGTATGAATAATCTAATGAAATGTAGGTGTAAACAAGCAACGACAGGTAGGCGAACTACAGGTCAGTTCTATTTTGTCAGAGCAGCAATTAAAAATGAGGCATATCTGATTGATATGGTACATTTTTCAAACATATGAAGAAACAGATGTGGCGCACACATACAGCATTTCCAAAATTCTTCTTTGATTGTGCAGAAGTTCTAAGTGTATTTAAGTTATTTTTAAATAAAATCCATTTCTCACATTCAAGATATTTGTTCAAAATTAATTTCTGTCATCAGTGTAGTAAACTTTAATGACACCATATCAAAACAGTGCCTATCCGATGCAGTTATTTTTTTAAAATAGCATCCATTCTCAAATCAAAAAAAAAAAAAAAAAAAAAAAAAAAAAACAAATTTTGAACATTATGAAACCCGATGACTAATCAGTGGAATTAATTTGGCGAATTGTTTTCTCCCTTGTGCATGAGTTTTTTACATTTTTCTTAATCATAGTGTCAGGAATCTTCTCCATCTGAAATACAGTACATTCATTTCGCAAAAATTTTGATGTGATTACATAAAAATCAATAATTATAACTTAAAAACTAATAATTTTGAAATGGATTTAAGTAGAATCTTAAATCAAATCCGAAATTTCATTGGAAAAGTTCTTTAAAAATCTCTGGTATCAAACTATCTATGCACTGAAAAAGCAAAGTTTTATTCCGAATATAGCGATAAAAAAAAAGTAAAAGTTCCATTTCTCAAACACTACCAAGACGGAATTTTGCCTGACTGCTTCCTTGTTGTGCAAGAGCAAATTTCCAGTAAGGGATACGTCACCTAAAATAGTTATAAAATGGTTTGAAAATTTAAAAACCTCACAAGTGCCTTACTCTAAGGATCTTTTTTTTTTTTGATTCTACTAATCCTACTCCAAAATATTACAAAAAGTGCAAGCGAACAGAACGTTTCTTCCTACGATAAGATGTGGAGAAATGTAAATTGGAAACATATGCGTCTTACATCCTTGGAAACCTATAGGAATAGCAACAAAACGATCCGTGATATCCAGATTTATACCCCTATCGAGTAAGAAAGAAGGAGAACTATGCACCTAAATGCAATATGAACTAGCTGAATGCAAAGATAGCTCGAACGCATTGCTGCAGAATTCTAGCACAGCAAAATTAGCTCAGAAACACTTTAGTTTAAAAACAATGAAAAACAGAAAAAATATATTCAAAGTAAATCAAATATTTTATCCTTACTTTGTTCACAGTTTTTATCATAAACAGTTGTCGAGCAGTGAGAATAATTCGATATTCCACCATTTGCAAGATCCAGGAAATGCCGAGCAATATTTGGTTCGTTATGAGTTGAAATATTTAGCAATTCCCTAAGGCATGCATTCTCTGTTGCAAGCCTTGCAATTAACTGCAACGAGTTTTTTTTTTCTTTTTTTAGTCAAATAACAAAGAAAACAAATTCATATGATGTTACTGCTTTCTCTGCTCGGAATCAACCTGACTAAACTAAACCATCAGTTTATGCTGGGGATAGAAAAATATCCTGTGACGAAATAAAAATGAGGTCCAACAAACTACCAGTTACTTTTAAAAACATTTTGCAGCCGATCATGTCATTTAAAAAAGAGATGACTGGCTACAAAATGACCTATGTAAGACATTAATTAAAAGAAATATTAGAATATCGAATTCAAAATTTTCTGCTAAATGACACCTAACAAAAAGTACCAATGTAAAACAACTTCATAAACTATGCTAAGAACAGAGATGAAATAATAACCTCTTGATCATGATTCAAAACGCTCTCACCATCCGCAAGACATTCATTCAACAACCTTGATAGACTGACAATTTTTTCGTTTATAGAAGCTTCACACTTTTTACTAGCATGCTGCAAAAAAAAAAAAAAAAAAACACCATTATCTTCAAACAAAAATGAGAAGCTAAGAACAATTAGGAAACAAGATCAAAAAACGAGGATATATGTGATGAATTTGCTAGTAACTGATTATTTATATAAAAAACATATAGAAATATATATATATAAATATAAAGTGAGAAAAGTAGCTTACTGTAACTGAATTTCGAAATGATGGAATAAATTGCTTTGCAAGCTTTGTTACAACATCCCTATGCTTTTGCATTATTAATTGTAGAGTATTTTCGCAATCCTCCAACGCCTGTCGAAGTTCCCTAAAAATTTCATTCGCATAGCACGCTGTTAGCGATTTCGAATAAATCATATCATAAAGTTCGAACGACAAACTGCTTCATTTTACATTACGACGTATAATCATAAGAGATCTTTCTATTATATCCACAACGATAGGTATGCACTTGGTAGAGAATCCAAGTGAATTATGTAAATCAAATCAGTTTGAGGTCTCTGTTATTATCAAAAATTTAACTATTAAATAAGCAGGCCAAGAGCCAAATAGATCCTACACCATAACATACCTATTTTCTTGCTGCAACTGCAAAATTTGCCGACTTTCATGTTGCAAGCCTGCAACAAGCACTTTGCGGCCTTGCATTCGCCAACAGTCATTCATATTTGCCACTTCTTCCTGGTACTAAAATAAGATCCTTCAAATGATAAGCACATGATTTTTTCGCAAACTCGTCAAACAGCACAGTGATTGTGCTAGTATGAAAGTCAAAATTGCAATTTAAAGTTATACTTCCTTGTTAAGAACGGCTTTTCCATTTCTCTTTTCAATTTAGTAATGAATTACTTAGAAAATTTTGATTTTTTTTAAAAAATAATTTTGACTGTAATTATTAAAGTATGTTTCGTCGGTACAGCTTTTGGTTTCCGCTTAGTTTTTAATGTAAGTCATGCTCATCCCTTACCTATTCACACTTTGAGGAATCAATTCAACTTAATTTTTTAAATGTCATTCTTTCAACTATACATTCTGTATTTGAAAAGTAAACAAGGATCAACCTATATCATTACAGAATATTCAGTGCTAGCAAAATCGTGCAAAAAGTGAGCCTTAATATATAAAAAAAAATTCAATGTCGCGGGCACAATAAGTGAAGCAAAATAAATCATTCAAGCTACCTTAATAATTCTTATAATTGTAAATTAACGATTATAAAACATTTTTTGGAAAGTTTCCTTACCTCCTTCATACCAGAAATTTTGTCACTAAGAATCTGACTTTTTGCAAGAGCATTATCCGTAGCGCGTTCACGTGTTTGCAAGCTGATGACAAGCTGACGCATATCAGCCATTAATTGACCGATACTTGTCGAGCTCATCGCTAAAAACAAATTAGAAGTAGCCTTCTGTAGTAAGGACCATAATTCAATTTAAGAAAACTTTAAGCAAAATTTTGAACATCAGAAAGAGACACTAATCTCTTTTGTTACCATCCATCAAACTTTTCAGACAGTGATGTAATACTCATAAGTTCACAAGTAACTAAGCAAATGATTATCCAAAAAATGTAACTGAGCAAGTTAATTCCATCCATTATGTATATTAAAAGCTTACAATGTAGCTTTTGTTGATAGAAGTGGTAAGCACTCTACTTTATGTCATTCGTTCTGCAAAGAAGTTAAAATCTAGAAATATTGATTAAAACAAAACTTCCTTTTCTGTCTTCCCTCCTCCCCCCCACATCCCTACCTCTCACACTTATAAAACAAAGTTAGACTTACACCCACACACGCGACAAGTACACACACATCCATAGACACATCCGTACACAGAAACACACACGGACACACCCAAATAATGTCCACCAAACTCCCTGGAATTTCATACTAACACTTCCAGATAACTCGGGTGGTCGATATGCAAACACCTCGTCCCATGCGAAGACGTTGGAATAGTAAGTAATCCAGAATAAGACTGGTGACAAAAGAGAAGAAATTGGTTGAGAGAAAGTTCAGTTACTTTGGAAATAACTAGTATTCAAGAAATTCAGATTTGATGGGAATTGAAATTTAACTGAATTCTGTAGATATAGGCTATAAGATTACTTCTTTTATCTAAACTATCAATATTCTTTATACGAAGTGTGAAGTTTTCCAGAATTTGAAGTAAATTATATTAACTTCCTTCTTTCTTTTTCTTCCTCCCTCTCTGTCTTGGTAGAGAACACTTAGATGCATTCATCCAGGAATATGCATAAGTAGGAACAAACGATTGAATGGAACAAACGATTTACTGAAATCTTCGATTCAACACGATAGAAAAAAAATAAAATTTCGGTTTTCTCATGAATTTATCCTTTTTTATTTCGTTCCATTTACTCTGTCGTTAGCCAATGGAAGTCATTAATTTCTTTGGTTTGTCATTTTACTTATCAATCAAAACTTTTAGTTATAGTCCCGTCGTTGCTTTACTTGCATCCAATTTTGATGTTGCATTTCACTGCGGTAAATCTATCTTAGAACTGAAAGCTATAATAGTTATTCATGCACAGTTCTGACGTCATGCCTCTTTCGTGTTTGCAACTTTGATTTTTAATGATATTTCCTGAGTAGACTCTATATTATCAAATTTTTTTTAATTTTTTCAATATCCTAGATGTAAAAATTTTCTTGCTTAAAAGAGTTTTTAACAGAATAAACTGAAGTTGCCTGCAAGATTGTCAAACGAAAGCAGAACCTTAATATTGATGACACGGCAATGTCAATGCATTCTTCACCATGCATCTGTACTACAAAGCTTTCCATGTTTTAAATCATCACATTCCTGAAAATGTCAAGAAAAGAAAGAACAATAAATCACAGCATTTGTGACTAACAGCAAAACATCACATATTCACAGAATTGATGAATATAAATATTTTCACACTTTCGTCACAAGCGGTAACACTTTTATATGCTTTTTGCGTTTATGTGATGGATTAGAAAGATTAAATATGACAGAAAGAAGAAAGAGTAATTAATTGGATGTAATGCTCCAATATGATGCGTCGAAGTGCAAAAGATTTGTTATCCACAAAGATTATCTGATCTTCTACCCAATACATTTTCAAATTTTATTCTTCGTCAGTACATGAAAATTTAAAAAATGAATTTGGAGCCAGTATTTACGCATATATTTTTGCATCCATGCAATCATCAGAAAAATAAAGGGGTGAGCGTAAACATTAATTAATACTATCAACTTCATGAACTTCTGCTTCTTATGTCCTGAAAAGGAATACGAAGGAAAATAAATTAAGGAAAAAAGAACAATAAAAGAAATGCTAAAGAATCTCAAGCTTAAGAAGTAAATAAATTTCAAAACAAAACCTAAATCATATTTGTAATTTAGTTCTGAGTTTACGTTGAATCTCCAGTGCTGAAAAATCTGAACAAAATACCCATCCTTCTAAATGTCCTTTAACTTTACACAAAATGCAAATATTTAGGTACTTTATCAATGGATTCATGAACTGATGGACTGAATTTCTAAATTTTCTTTTCCGATTATTTAAAGTGTAAGAATTTGCGATTATGTTGTGCAGAAATAAAGCTAAATTTATTCACAACTTTATTCATGAAGATTAAAGATACGAGATGCACCATATTCATTATCTTTATTAGTGTTCGCAATTAACATTAAAGTGGAAAAAGTGCGCAGAAAGTGAAGACAGGTGAGAACGAAAGAAACTGCTGTGATATTTGTTAGTTATGCTAGCTAGTGTAATGAACTTCTTAAAGCATTTCTTTCTTTCGTGTATTTAAATCAAAATTGTAAAGTTTCCAGAAAATGTTTTGAGCTCACAACAAATGTTTGAATTTCTCCGTGTTTCGCTATCAGCCGCTTTGTGCCATGGTCGAAATGATCGCTTAACACGGTATGTAACTAAAATTCTTCATCAGTTGATTTATTGGATTTCAATAGAAGGTTTTGTTTTAATTGATAAATGATAAATGAAAATTTTTTAGAAGCAATCAACGGAAGCACCGGAATATGAATCCAAGCCAATGTCAAATCTTTGGTATATTGCCCTATCACTTTTTTTTTGCTTTCATTATTAAAGATATAATTTATCACCATTGTTAATGGTTGAAATACGATTTCTAGGGACGATGCAAACTGAAATGAAAAACTATTCCTGAAATCAAACCCATATCCTTTTCTAACTCATTTCTAAACTATTCATTAACTAATTCATTAATATAAATTTGTGCACATCTCAGCTAAATGTTACTGAAAGCTTACCTTACTGAGTTCTCTAATTTCTTGAATTGGAACTCAAGTTACCTGAATTTGAAACTAAAAATCAAATTCTGCCTATTATATCATATATAGCACATGTATGTATATATAACTAAGCTACAGTGTAGTCCACCGAATTAAAAAATGACGCAGAGTTTGTGCCTCTCTCAGCTTCATGTCAGTTCTTGAATGTGCAATATTTTTTACCCGGGAAATCATTAAGTGGTAGTAAATACAGTGTAAAAGGTTTATTGTTTCTGGCATCTATAGTACAGTGCTCAAATAGTGCACGAAACTTGTTCTAAGAAAGACGATCAAGAAACTGCCAGAAATTAGTGCTCATATTTTATTCTTGATTTCGATATTTGCTATTACATAGTTTATGAATGAGCGAGTGGCATGAGGTCTTATAGCATATCTCGTGGCACTCGTCCAATTTACAATGTTACTTGCTTTCCTTTTCAATTTATTATTCTAGAGAGAGTGAGAGAAGTAGCAAACGACCAGGAAGTTTATCGAATTAAGAGCACCCGAAAACACAACAGGTAGAGTAAACTCACAATAAAGAATAATAAGGAAGGCAAGCTTGAAGTTTTCATCGTTTTCTTTAACAGATTTTTACGTTTACTTTTCTCTGTATGGAATAGATTGCTTGTTAGCACTTCAATGCAGTTTTTTTTCTTCTCTTCATAGCTGAACACAAATATTTGATATTCAGAATAGAAGCGAACCACTATGGCAGTAAACGACGACCTGAAGAAATACGTAAAACCGTCCCACAACAGCATTCACCACAAAAGAAATTACCATTATCTGACAAGTCAACGATATGCTTCATACGAGTGGCATCATTCGGTACACAAACTACTGTAAATTTTCTTTTCTTTTTGAGCTCAATCTTTGAATTATGATTAAATTCAAAGAATAGACTATTTGCCTCGCTTTTTCGTTATTTCAAATAACTAGTATGAAATCTTTAATGGTTATTTAGTCTCAAAAATGATTTGCTCCGACTTTTCAGTTTTCTCTGCTATTGATCAATGTCGGATATAATCATTTGCATAACTGCAAAGAAACTCGAAATAACAAATCAAAATTAAAATTAAATTAATCATTCTGAAAGTCTTGAAGTGATTTTCTCTTATTAAAAAAGAAAAAATTTTAAATGTATTATTTAATGCATTAATCGATTCGTAGTAACATATTTTTTAATCTGACTGGAGATATTTAGTAGTACTGAACTTTCAACACTCGAGATTTAGGAAGAACGGGAATTTAAAAAGAGTACCACAATAGTGTCTAAAGCCACACAGACGCCATTTTTCACCATCGACAAAAAAGGAACCAGTGGAAAAAGCGAATACGAAGAGCGTTTGAAGGTATATATATATATATATATATATATTAAATACCTCGTTTAGCACGATAATGTAAATTTGAACACTGGATCTAATATAGAGAATTAGAGATTACTTTGCATTCATTGAAATTTTTATTACAGTCGTCGAGAACACACTACCAAATAAGCAGTATTTCATTACCTACCAAACCTTTTTTTCTAATTTACGTAGTCGATAAGCATTTTGATAAAGGAAAAAAATAAAAATAAGTACCGTAAAAGTTTTCTCATAAAGTTGATTCTATAACTGTTACTGGGAACTGCTCGATATTGTATATGTATTTGTGTTTTTTTTTTTCAGTTTCAAGCATGGAATGATGCAAAATTTTTTGTGACAAATCAACTTCTAGCACAATGTCTTCACACTCCTAACTGCACGAATGTATTGAGTTCAACAGAAACTTACCCTTCAACTAAATCTTGAAATATTCGTTTACAGAATCAATTTATTTATGATAAAATTGTCCGGAATAATCTTACACAAATCATTAAATAAATACTGTGCACTGCAATTGGTTTACAAATTAATGTCTTCCGGTTGAAACAGAATTTTTATTGTTCCATTAATTTAAAATAATAGCTGAGGCAGAAATAGTCAGATCATATTTTACATATTCAATACAGAATATTAATAGAATCACAGCTTCTGTAATGACTAAAATGCACCGTGGAATGCCAACGTAATCTATGGAAACTTCAACTTTTTCAGAAATTGTTGTTGACCCACCCAAAGGCCAGGATATGATAATTAATGTGATGATAATTTCTATAACTAACGCAGCGATCGCTACGAAACTGAAAAAAAAAAAAAAAAAAAAAAGCATTTTAATATAAAAATTAAGTTTTAAGTATACCTGATGCTTAAAAGAAAAGTGAAGCGTGACTTACGTTCTTCGTATTCGCATACAAATAATATATAAAATAATACTGAAAATCCATATAAGCATCATAACAATAACACCAGGACCAACACCAAATATAAGTGTAGACATTCCCTGCAAAGTATAAAAAAAAAAGAAAACACGTAATGTATTCGTAATAAAATGAAGAGGAAAAAAGGGTGAAATCGTCTCAAAACTCTTACGACAAACTCAGTTTTTTATTATGCATACCAACTATTATTCAAATTAACTGGTTCATAAATTACGACTTCTAGAAAATGAGACATACAGAAGATTAAATCAAAAATTAGAAAGTAAACGTAGAAGTAAAAAATAAATGCTATGACTTATATTATTTACTGCATAGTTCTTAATAATAATCTTCCATTTCATTCCACTTAGGGGTGAGCGTTCACTAAAAGGTCATAACTGTAATCACCGATTAACCCGTTATTCAGGTTGACTCCAGGATTTTCCAGTCAGATAAACTACAACTAGTTGAATATCATTCTGTACCGACTAAACACTATGGAAATATGGTTACTATAGAAACTAATACACAATAAATATGACTATCCTTTGAAGCGGCTTAAAAAGATTTATGAATAATAGTTCTGATATGCAAAAAATACTAACGATAGTGGTTGTCACTCCGTTTTAAAGCTGATTGAAACTACTATGACAACTTACCGACATAACACTTGTCAACAATAGAATCTGGCAATATTGGTGTAGAAGATGCAAAACCTTCCATGTATGATGTTGCTCATCCATCTTCTTTAAAACTTGGATATAATGTTATGCATGGCAATGTTATTATTTTCAATAAACAAACAAGCAGGATGCTTCAAAAAAATGAGTGATATATACTAAATATAATTTTTTTAAAGTTTTTTTTCAAATTCAAACTTAAGTCGTGTTTTAGAACAAAACTAGAGAAGTTTAATATCGAAATGAAAATTTGGGCTTTGTTCCTAAAATTTGGACTATTAAAGTCTTAGACTTTAAATATTTTTAATGTTTTCTTTAACTGATCAGTAATTGTAAATAGAACCTTATCATTATAAAAGTGTTTATATTTTGACGTTGTAAGAGATTTGATAATTGGTTACTCAGTACTCAGTAAATACTCAGTTTAATTTAAAAATTGACTAATTATCGGTGATATGCATCACTAATCGCAATTGATTTTTGTACCACTCAAAAACATATAACTAAAAAGATCGGTAATTTAGCAGATCTAATAATGTTCCTTTTTTCTGAAAAAAGAAGTGTTATCTTCTCAAATGCTTTTATCAATTTAAATAGGAGAAGAAGTGATGATTCATACAGTACATTGATATCACTGATACAATTACTAAGCAGATCGTTCAAATATGTGATTGTCAAAAAAAAAGGAAAAGAAGTTCTGTTGATGTTGAAAATTTTGGATAAAACACAATATATAAAGACGAATATACCATTATCAGTCATTATTTAATAAAAGTAATTTTTGAGCGACGCAACGCACAAATGCTTCAGTTCAATAGCTTCCAACTGGTATAATAGCGGCATTTATTCTTAAAAATTCATTTTGTCCCTATTAATTGCCAATATTTCTGCACTTCCACTTTTGCTGAGAAAACTATATTGTAGAATTTTGTTTGAAAGCATTTAATGTTTGGTGGGGTAGTATAAATGGAGTAATTCTGAACAACGTGACTTGAGGAAATTTTGATAAGTAATAAATAACCAATGAATAATATTGATAATAATAAAAACAATAGTAATAAATAATAATTATTAATAATAATAATGATAATAATAATATTAACAATAACAATAAATAATAACAATGAATGATAAATCTAGAATACTTATTTCTTATTCTTCGCAACTATATTAAGTGTCTTGTCCACTTCAATAAGAACCGGAGATTTTTTTGATGCATTAAAGATTGTACCACAAACACTGCTGAGACTGATCACATGTGTCAAACAACAGCTAACATCAATGATAGAAATTTTATACTCCCTAGGAATATTATAGTATTTCTCAACAGTATCGACAAGCAAGAAGTACACAAACTTATAAATTCATAAGTAGCATCACAGTTGGATAATGATTCATCAAATATTTTTAATTACGTTTCTTGTCCGGCATGGACCAACAGACCTGTAGAAAATGCTTGATTCATAAATATTCGACCTCGTTCCTTCAGATGAAATAATCGCAGTGTTACTGAAAGTCTTATCTGTATTTAAAAAAAAAAAAATCATCGAGAAATCTCTCTTGCCTAACTCGGTACTGAGAAAGACAGCGCTGTTGATAAGAATGGCTGGAGAGTGAAAGGGTTTGAAAATAGCATGGCTAAGAGGTTGATAGAATGAAGCAAAAGCAGTAATTTGAAGCAGGATATAAGTATTGACGAGATTAATGAAATAACCTACAATCCAAAGGTCGAAAAGGTATTTGTTAATAGTTTATGGCAAATGAAAAACTTGAAATTGCAGATATTAGTGAGAAAATAGATTCAAAGTAGATGAGTCCTACAACGATTTTCGATATTCTGTATTAAAATGTTTTTGAATTGATATGGAAGAGTGTAAAATTCAAAGGACGTGGTAGCATATGTTATGCATGTTGGCTGTGATGGTAATTGCATTGAAGTTGGATGCAATTTGTAATCTCATTTCTCTTATAGGGATTTGAAATGAAGTATATATCCGAATTCATACAAGTGCCGGGATGTTTATTGTTAGCCTTTTTTGCTTTTAAATGTGCCAGATTAGCGTATTGTAATTTTTCACTTTGATAAAGTAAATTGAAATTTAGAAAAATATATATGAACGCTAAATTCTTTCTCTGAGACATATAGCACGAATTCAAAGTGAGTTTGAAAATTTGCAAACCTTCCTTTGGTAGCGTATTATTCCCTGATTTTGCCTAAACAGGGAAATTTTCATTGTAGGATTGCTGAAATTGTGAAGTATTTCCTACGGTTGTTTGCTTTTTTTTTACTCTGTTGAAAAATCGAATTTATATTCTAGGTAGTATGAAATCCACATGAAAATGCAGCAGTCAAAACAGCAAGAAGGATATTATGCTGTATATGTCCCGTCACCAGACGGGTTATCTGGTGAAGGTGCCGTATTCACAACCTTGAGGGAAGCATCCAGTTTTGCGAACACGCCGGAAAGTAAAACAAAGGGTTAGGTATCCAGGATATATCACTTGAATAGTAAAATGGAATAATATAGCAACGAATAACTCTAATACCTTGCAAAAATTATTTGCGTTTTTTCAGGTGCTCGTTTCAAGCGCTTTAAAGATCAGGTTGACGCAAAAAAATATGCCAAAAATGGTGATATGTTTTGTAAAAGCCCAGAAATATCAGTTAAAAGTCAATCCACAGGAGAGCCAACTTCATCTTTTCCATCCGTATCTCGAATTATGTTCAATCGTTTGAAAAAGGCAATCGAATCAAAGGTATGTGTTATATATTGATGAGTTTAAGAAAAAAAGAAATGTACGTTGGACAATTTTCTTTATTTGTGATGCTTCTATTTAATCTCGTATTTCACGTTTTTTTTTTTTTTTTTAAAAAAAAGAAAAGGTAATTTAGGACGACGAATTATTCTTGGAAATGGCTTTGCAGAATCCACGTTATCTAATCAATATCGGAAGTGATACACCAACAATCGTAGTTGAAGGTTTTCGTTATAATGCTATGCATCTTGCAGCTAAAGTTGGTAATTTACACGTTGCCAAATATGTTCTTCATCTTGTCTGCGATAGTCAAGTGTTGCTTGCTTTATACGGTTTGTAAATGGATTTAAATACTTTTCAGATTTCTTTTTTTAGAAACATTCTTGACAAATTTCTTTAAATTTGTTTCTGTTTTGGAGAAGGTATGGAACCAGGTAATTGTCTTTTTGTGATAATCTTTTGGTTATCTAAAAATTGATTATCTTTTTCATCTCGCATAGATAAAATTAATTTAATATTTGAGGGACGTCGGAAGATGATGTTAAGATGCGCTCACGTTTACTTCTTGACTGTTATCTCAATATGCCTGATAAGGGTTCACACGATACACCATTACATTTTGCATCTAAATTTGGGCACTATAATCTGGTTGAACTGTTTTTAAGTTATAGCATATGCCAAAAAAATCCTATTAACAAGTAAGCTGATATAAATTTTATTTTTGATTATTCAATTTCTGCATTATATAAACCAAGTTTATGTAAAGTTTCAAACTCACTGTTAAAACTAGTGTTTATCTATAAATTCTTCCGTCATTATTGCTATAGAGAAAAAAGTTTCAGATAATGGTCTACATAGACGCTAAGTATGATTTAAAGTTAATTCTTTGAAGATTTTATTTTATTTTTTTTTGATGGTCTTGGGTTAATTTTTTGTAGAGTTTTTTCTTTTCTTTCTTTTTTTTTTTTTTTTTGTAGAAATTGATTCTTGATAGCATTTAGATTGAATTTGTCTTTAAAGTATAGAAATTCAGGATGGGTTTTACTCCTGCTCAAATTTGTTGCACAAGATATGTTGGCTGTGATAAGAAAAATCTCTGTGCTGTAATGATATCACTTTTCCTCTGTTTCTTTGTTGCACTTTATCGTCCAACGGATAATTATTATTCAATAATTATCCAACTTCTCGGTACAGTTTTCAAAATTTTAATGTTAATCCTTTAACTTTTTCAGGACATCATTCTTGCTTCTGTAAAGTGCTAAGCTTTTTTTAGGAAAATGTGTTCCTTTTGTCAGATAATTAGTGATAGATCTGTGCTGCTGTTTTGTTTTAAATATGACTACACACGCCGTTTTCTTTGATTTACAGATGAAACACCACCCAATACACTTCCAGATGATGCACCTGGATCTTTCGTATGCATGTCAGCTTTTGAAACATACGAACTTGCAGCTTACGCTGGTTGCCTTTTTTCTGTCTTTGTTTCCTTATTAGGCATAAAACAAAGTATCTCCTAACAAATTCTTATTCATTAGTGGGATAAGAAAGATTTTCTGTGGTCAGTGAAATAGAGCAAAAATAATCATTTAGGAGGCCGAATAACAAGATTTAGGCGATTGTTATTATCTTTGGATTTGTTACTAAAGATTTGTGTGTTGACAGCTTTATGCATTTAGTTTCCAGTATGTACTTGTGGTGTTTAAGGACCATTCGCCGATAAAGCTGTGGCACAGGAGTTTTGTGAAACATGGAAAATAGAAGAAAGAGATTGTCGTAGGTTGTATCCTCGGAAAGGTGCTGAACGTGTTGGACGTTGTCTTGCTAATAAATATAAAATAACTTGGATGGAACGCTGGAGTTTTTGCAATAAATTGCTTGATTTCCAATCCTACTCAGGTCTGTTGTATTTAATATCAGTCCTGTTATAAAGTGATATCTTTTTATTTTCAAAAAATAAAGCGCTATCAACATTGAATAAAGCAGAATTCTTTCTAACCTTTTGCGGAATTTTTTGCAGTGAACAAAATATGGTTCCTTGTTTTAAATTTTTCATTTACACTATTCATTTTTGCAGGATTGGAAGAATTAAATCGCCACCTTGTGAATATTAGATTGCATCCACCGGCTTGTTTAATTCGCACTATGAACTGTGATTGCGATAACGATTCTGTGGTTTTTTCGGGTGTATGTGATACCGCGTTAAATGATCAAAGGAGTGAAAACGATGACTGTAAAACCGATGATTTACCTAACATATCGCTAGGTGGAATAACAGAAAAGCAAGTTTTTTAATTTACAGCATTTCTAACTTTCTAAAATCCTGAAAAATACGTTTTATATCTTTACATTTTCGCAGTCACCCCAAGTACTTCGCTTCGTAAAATAATGAAAGGTTAACCTGACACATTTAGTTATCAGTGATGCTTCATTTCTGAAAGTAGTAAAAAGTGAATCTAATTTCTTTTATCTTTTTTTCCTATTGACTCTATAAATTTCTCAGAAATTTCCATTACTACTTTCATAGGGCAGCCGTGAATGCGAACAGTGACCACGTACATTGGTAGTGTAATTTTCTTTTTGCTGTGTTTACGCCTACGTGCTTTGACCCGTCTTGCTTTCTTTATAAGTCATACTCGAATTCAGTTCATTTTAGTCAAATTACTGAATTTACTGAACTGGAAATTCTTTCCACTAATCGTTTTAAGAAGTTGTTCTTGAACATTTTTGAAAATAGGTGCAACTTTTCTTTCTTTTCTTAATGACTGTGACTTACATTTTACCAGTATCTGTCATATTTATGCACTGGTCGAACGTCTGGACCAGAGATGCTTTTGTCTTTAATTTATTCAAAATCTTCCATAAAATTCAAAAATCCTGCTTGCTTTTTCTTTCTTTTCCTAATGACTGTTTCCACGGATTGTTTTTCGGCTTCTTATCCATAGTGCTCGCCTTCTCATTTTTTCTCTTTTTGGGCTTTACGAACTGCTTTGCTTTTATGTGTTAACATGATATATATAAAGATATTGAAATATTTTAAAAGAATAATTTCAATTTTAGGTTTTCAAATCTTCATTTGGATTCATCATCATCATCTGAAACACTTTTGAATTCAGGCGACTATATATCTAAAGACTATGTTTCCTTCGCGGAAAATCTTATGACCTCCGAATCGCCCTTGACTTCAGATTTGAATATTGTTATTTCACCTGCTCAGCTTGAGCAGACTAACAGTAACAACGAACGAAATGACTCTATTGATTTTGATTATTATACACCACCATCATCGCCGGAGCCAATTTATATTTATGAAGGGATTCCATCGAAGGATGATGAGGAACTAGTAACTGCGCTTTCCCTGGTAAGCTATTTTGCGCTAAAAGGACAGCAAGAAATAATTATGGAAAGGGTGTAACAGGAAAGAGATTCTCAGAAATTGGATTATGGCTCGTTTTCTGTAGATTCATTTGACGAGAGATGCATAATTATACTCACTGTGCAGATATTTTTATTAGTTAATTCTTTGCTGTATAACACCTAAATTGAAACTTTATAAGTGAAAATGTGTCGTGTTAAAAACCATAGTCCACAAACGACCCAAAATAGCTTATCAGCAGAATAGAAATAATATTTTTATTCTCTTGCTTTTTTTTTCCTCAGAAGTTCTCTGATTATTTATTGGGATGTGTTTCTTACCATGAATGGAACTATCTGCTGAATACATTGCATCAGATTACTGGAAAATGCCACCAATTTCAGCCATTCCGTTTAATTCATCCTCTGATTAGTGTGTCATTAATTTGGTTTTGTGTTTTGTAGACCAGTGCAGTACCTCTTGTTCTTGAGTGCAGTGTATTTTAGTTCTACTTTATTATTTTAAAACTTGTATTCCTGCATACTTCAACTTTTTCAGTCTTTTATAGTACAAGCGATTTTTTTTTTTTTTTGAGTTCATATATCTCTAATTTATATTACCCTTTGCAAAGTCGTTTTTAATTAAGGTCGATCCGCACCTGATTGAGCGTTTTGGTGCGGTTTTTGAATATATGCGACATGTGCGCAACGTGCCGGAAGCGGAGCGTTCTCATTGGCCATTCACCGATTCACCACGTGCGAAAAGACGCAGAATGTAGATTTGAAAACGATATTTCTAACGGGTTGCTTGTACTAATGGAAAGATTTTTTTTTTTTTCGTAGTTATGCTTCACTGATTAAATTCTACCTTTTTGATACCATATTTCAAGGTTCTGTTTTTTTTTTTTGCTCTTGATCTTAGAACTACATCAGATATGAATAGATGAGTGGGAAATTTATGTTCACTGTATTAATGTAATATCGTTTCAGGTATATGATGCTGCTTCAAATATGTCTAACCGGGTAGTTTGGCGCGCTCCAGTTTTTCTCACTGTCTAAACATGCCTTAACTCCTTATCTTTGTCTTGTACATATCGAACACTAATTTGGAAGAAAATTTTAAGTTCACGAGATTCAGTTATTCATAATTAATATTAATTTAAAGAGAAAATTTGAATTTATGTGAATAAAGTTATTCATTTAATCGAGTCGATGTAAATCAACTGTTTTTTAGTCAGATTCAGTTAAGCTGGAATTTAGATTGGATTCAGTATGACTGGAATTGACTTTGTTCTATAATCTTTGGGCATTGGCAAGAAATAAATGTATAGCTATAAAATAGATAACTGCTTTCATTTGTTTCCGGAATATTTAGCACTTTATCAAATGCAAAGAGTTCGTGCAGATGTAGCAATGAATTCCTACAGTCGTGATTTGAAGTATTTCTAGTCATGTTTTCATCTTAATGAAAAGAGGTTTTTGGAGATGGATACAACGATTTATCAACACTTTTTTTTAAGTAAATACTTCGAGAAAGCGTGACAAAATTATGCTTTGTGAAGAAGTTGGATCTGTCTATATCTGTAACATACAAAAATATGTAGCATCCCATGTAAAACTCTTTTATATCTGTCCACCTCAAGCGTTTTATGTTCAGTTGAATAGTCAGTACAGACATTTTTGGTCCACCCTTGTTTTCTTCATTAGCGTTAAGTAGTAATTGACTTGTCTTTTATTATTTTATGATCCTATTTGGATTCATTTTCTTAAAATAAATTTCTGTTTTTAGCTGAGCTGGAAGTATGTAGATTTCAAATATTATGGAATACAAATGTTCTCATTTATAAAACGAGCAAAAGTGTTTTGGTATGCAGTTGCTAGACAAATAATGTACCTTAATGGACTGTATGAGCTTTATAAACGCACTGAATGTTCGTATTGATTCCATCGCATATCTCATTTTGGTTTTTTTGTATCAGAAACTCTAATCAAATCTAACCATAATTTCTCAGTATACAATAATTATTGATGTCATTCAAACATTGTAAAGTGCTTTGCTAGGAAAGATCCAAAATTTTAACTACGTTGCAATATGTGATTCAAAAAATTACAGAAGTCTTAAGAGAATTCCTCAGAGTTAGGTTAGCAGTGGATTTTACTTTATATTTGAAGTTATGATTACGAAGGATAGCAGACTGACGAATACGAATTTTTGGTTCAAAATTTATAAATATGAGGCATGCAAATGGAGGATAAGAAGGAGGAAGTGGCTTGCATTCTCCATGAGAAAATTGCTGCTATATATCGATTACTTGGGCATTTTTCTCTATAATTTCCATTCTTAACGAAGGACTTCTGCCGTGAAACGGAACAATATTCCTGTTAGTATTTAAACTGAATCTTTTAATGGATAAAATTCAAAGTTTTTGAATTTACCACCACTCAAGTGTCTTATGAAGTCGATACTTTAGTAGGTTGAAACAAAAAGTATTGCTATTTTCGTTTAACTATTTTCCTCACATGCTTAAAACAGGGGTGTAAGCATCACAATGCTTAGGTGTTACTCTGGTTGCCTACATCCGATAAGACTGGGATTGACTTTTAACGCACTTCATATCATTTTTTGAAACGCAAAGGGAAGTTTTGGATAAAATCTCTTTTTTTCTTTTTACAAAAAAAAACAAGCATTTGATTGGTTTATGAAGATTAGCTTTATTAAATTAAAACATTCACATATGCGATTTTTCATATAATTTATTTAGGGACAGACCTACTTCACATATCAACTTCAATTTTGGGTGACATTGGAGCAGAATGTCATTATTGTTGTCACACCGCGATATCGGTGCCAACAACACCAGAGTTTCAATAATAACAATAATTAGAAATAGAAATTTAACGCATGCAATTATCTTTTCCTTGCAGTGAAATCATGGCTTTGTTGTGATAGAGAAGTGATGCATACAGTTGGTAATAGCTTTTCAATGATAAGTCTTATTTTTAGGATGATGAATAACTAACTATTCTACTAGTCCTCTTTCCAACTCACTGATTGCTTATTGATTTATGTTTTCATATGCATCCAGGCTCATTTGTTCTTTAGGCAAAAAGGATGAAAACAAGCTTTAATGTGCTACACTAAACTAATAAGGAAGAAATCTTTCGTCTTCCTCTTCTTTTCATCTAATGGCTCAATTTTAAAATTGTTTTGTATTATATATATATATGTCTTCTTATGGTATTATTTCCTATAATATTTTACTAAATTCATAGGGAATGTTTAATAATAAAATTATGTGTTAATCATATTAATCAACAATCACACTTTTTTTCTGAATCCTTCCTTTGTTCTTCAGAGTTGTTCCATACTATCGCATTGTCCTGGTGTCACTACAATCTAAGCAGCAGATCAGTTCAAATAAATTGAATAGGTCAAATAGTGGAAGATTGATGTTGAATATGATCATCTGTGTACAACTTTTTTTTATCACCTCTTAGTAAAAATCTGTCTTTTTTTTTTTATTAATGAGAGAATTAATTATAAGTGGCTGATTGTGTTTAAAATCGAATGAGCAAATTAGAGAATTGGGAGTTTGATAATTTTTATTTAGGATCCATGTTTGAGTCCATGAAAAGTCACATTTCGGGTGGTTAAAAACTTTGTTGGTTTTGATGTTTTGCCCTACAATAACTTATTCATTCAAATAATTTCCTTCATAATCATCTGAATGCATCAACTTTCTTTAAAAAAGATTAACAGGCAAACAGTAAGTAAAATTTTCCTTTAAAAATGTGGATAAAGATAAGTTATACCGGTTAAACTTTAAACTAAATTTACTAAATTAACTACGAACAACAAATTTTTAACTAATTCTTTTCTACTGTTAGCTTCTCAAATGCTTTCTTTAAAATTGGTTCCTTCTAACTTGCTAATACTTACTAATATTTGGACAAAGTATATCAAATATGTGAAAACGATGTTAAGTGCATTAAAATGTTGCAGTTTTGTTCCTTCGACACTATCAGTTAATTAAATTCTTTTAAATCGTAAGATTTATAGCACTCTTGTGGAATGAGTCAGTATATAATTAGCGTAATAAAACTTTCTTGACTCATATTTCTGAAGATGAATTTAGATCTGGAACTTTTCTAGGGAACTAAATTCATGAACGGATCTTGTATTTTGCAATATAACAGCGCAATTCGAACGTTATTTTGCTCCTTTAAAAGCAACGAAATGGGATATGTTAGTAGAGACAAGAAAAAACTATTGTGCAATATTTCTTGAGCTTTAATGGCAACGACATATTTCCATTGAGCTTCATCTAAAATTTCCATTTTGCCCTCATGGTCATCAAGTTTCAAAAAAACATCACTAATAATCGACCATGAACTAAGCACCAATTGTAATTTTAAAGGCAGCAATCGAGAAATAGAAGTGAGTAAATGAAAAGTATTATTTTAGCTTTAATATGAAAGCAGTTTCGGTGCCACTAACCTGTAATTAGTAATTGCACCACGAACCAAAAAAAAAAAGAATAAGAGGAACCCAGCTACACAATGCTCGTTTTTCATATTCCCTATTGCATAGATCCACTTACCTAGTATTTTCATCAAATGTATTTCTTTAATCTCTTAGTTACTTTAAAATTTTTTAAATACAACTAGTTTCTTTCATTTGAAATCAAACCAAGAAGAAAAAATTTCATTTTCCTTTCTTGATGAGAAAGGCACAAGAAAGGCACAATAAATAAACATAGAACGTGACGCATTAAACAGCCATGGAACGTTTATATTACCTCATTTATATCGTTTTCCACTTTCTGTTGGCATGTAACTGATGGTTGGAAAAATAAATTGGTAAGTGTCGGCTTTATGAGTTGCTTTGGGAATAATGATGCTTAGATCTATTCGAACTCGTTGCTTTACTAACAGGAGTTGAAATATCCTTACTGATTATCTTCAATTATTTGGTCCCGATATTTAGCTAATTTCAATTTCATCTTTTTTATCAAATTCATTCCGGCTCATTGCCATTTTTCATTAGATTTGTTAAATTTAAACCAAAAATATTGTATGCATTAACTTTCAGTTGTTTGCTATAGATAGATATTATGGAGTATGGTTACCGCGGTATCTGTCGTTAAATTAGTTATTAAATTTGATTCGTCATAGGATCTTTTTCTATCATCAGCAGTTCACGTTTAGTGAGTCTATAAATGGATGTTAATTTAATTGCAATCGAGAAAATTCATTGACTAGAATTTCATGGATAGCGATAAAAGTACTGAGTTTCATTTCACATGTCATTGCATTACAATAAATCGTAGGAATTTTCTGATTAAGGTGCCAAATAAAATGATATGTAGCAGTCAAGTAGATTGCGAGCTGAACCTAAAAAGTCTTGCTAAAATGACAAAATAGACGTATATCTTTTATAACCTCGTTGAGATGATTTGTGTTTCTTAATTGCAAAATGGTAGGAGACTGAATTAAATATGTTGTTTTTGCATTTAAATTTATTATACTTCTGAGCTTTTTTGGCATATCATTTGCCGAATGGATCGATATAAATGTAATTTATTCAAAGAAGTATGTAGATTTGAAGTTATTCTAAAAATGTCAAAGGATTTATTAGATGAAGAAAAAAGAAGGATAGTCATCAATGACTAGATACGGTATAAACCCATTAGGGATTTTCTTCTGGCAACGATCCGATGTTACATATTTTTCTTATTCGTTCTCTTCCTGTTTTCTTCACTTCGACACAAATTAATGGAACCCTTTACTGAAATATAAAATTTAGTGGTTTTTTTGCTCTGCATTCATTATCACTCATCCACTTCTAAATCAAGAAATTTTTCCCGAAATTTAGACAGTTTTTATATTTCAGATTTTTGACAAATATTTCTATGACAGCAAAAAATAACCGTTGCTATCAACACAATCAGCTGGAGATAATAAATCAGAGAAGCAAAAAGTAGTAAGAACGAAAGTATGGAAAGTATATCTAGTGGTGTCAACTTTCTCAGACGTCGGTTTAGCTCTCAGGATATCGAAGAGGATGACAAATCGATGTTTACTTCAGTTCTTGGTGGACGTAGCGTACAACAACATCAACAACAAGCACAATATCAACTACAACAGCAACAATCCTCCAGTGCTTCATTACATATCCAGAGTGGGCCTCCTAATAGTTTCTCGCTAGCTGGTCTTGCCAATAAAGTCTCTAGCGCTATAAGGTTAACTTTTGAATTATACAGTTGGAATTCTCCAATAAAGGGAGAATTTATTGAAGTTGATACTAACGGAAGTTTTTATGGTAAATGGAGGAGGAAAACATTCAAGAAAATAATGAATATGAATCGATTTGTTCATTTCTGATGACAGAGTTGCGATATTTGTAGATATTTATAATATTACAAATAATTTATGGAGTGACACTAAGAGGAAATGTCGGTAGTGAAGCCAGTGAATTAAACTGAATTAAAAGTAAGTAATAGGAAAATAAAATGAAGCACGCAAATGTGCTTAATAAGATGTTGCTGCTAACTATTCTAATAATTAGAATAATTAATTTAGTAGTTCATACGAAGAAGGATAGATGAAATTGATAATCCGTTCTTCAGAGATAGAAATCTGAAATAAGCGTCCCACGATTCCAGATGTTCAGAATACATTCTTGAGAAAGACCATTTTGTTAAAGATATAACCGGGAAAAAGTTCGGTACTTTTATATGTAGAAAAATAAATGAGCTTTTGTTTTTTTGACTACGATTTTCAGAATCTCGTAGGTACCAGAACTTGACTATAAAGGATGCATATAATTTCAGTACTGAAGAAGTCATATTTTTTCTTTCAGTGCTCCAACGTCACCATCCAAGCAATCAATGTCTATGTATTCGCAGGTTCAAGGTATAACCAAAAATCTAATGCAAGCAGCCACTAATGCTGCATCGTATGTTCAGGGACCACACAAGTGTATATTGGTTATTGACGACCGGCAGATTGATTGGTGAGTTACTGCTTGTCTAATATTCAGATACTCACTGCTCCTTGAATTTACAAAGTTTCACATACAGCATGTCTGCTTAAATTTACTAGACCAACCCATGCAAATGATTTGAACGATGATGTTTCTGATAACCTTAAATTTATCATATTTTCAGGAGTAAATATTTTCGCAACAATCGTACTGGGTGGCAACTACGGATTGAACAAGTATTTCATTATAGTATTAATCATATAATCAAGCAAAGCAGTGACTGAAAATTGATATCGTTATTGCAACTGAGTAAATCATGAGCTTGATGCTACCTATTGGACGTATTTTTAGGATGACAATTTAATGCCAGTGATACCGATAAATCTATCAAAAAACTTACTAGTGCTTTTTAGGAGCTACTCTTTCGCTAACCTAGCAGGATAAACATGAAGTACCTTCATGTAGTAAACTCATAATGTGAACCTAAAGAGTTTTGCTGTAGTTAAAGTAACTTTTATTTTTAGGCTCCGTTCTCAGAAATACATGTCTGTTGTCATTCCAATCATAAATGTACAGTGGATATTTTGGAATTCGGAAAAGAACACAGGTCTTTCTATTGAAACTTTTCAAAAACTTTTCTTCGAGTTTTTTTAATTGCTTATCATTATTACCATTATTTTTTTTGGATATTCTGCTGAGTAACTCTTTGACTAATAAACGACAATCATCATCATCAGAACATGTTTTAGAGCTTTTCAAAGAACTGTTTTACTGATCTGTCATATGTCTTCTTACTGTTAAATTTGTATGAAAAGTAATATCGGCAGCTGTCTAACTCAAGAATTTACCTTGAAACTTAGCGAAAAAAATGAGTTGTTTTTTTTTTTTTTCTTTTTGCATTCAAAATAACAAATGAGACATTAAAAAAAAAAGTTGTCGAGATTAAAGTAAAGAAGCACGATTGGAATACATATATATATATATATATATGCATACTGAGCGAACATAAACTGTATGATATTTCAATTTCTGTCAACTTAAAATTTTCAGGAGGATGCAGCCAGATTTCGTTTTATTTCGGCAAAATGCAAAGAGTGAGAGGGGTGATTACACTAATATTGCTTTAGCATTGTTGAAAGGAGGTGTGCAAACTTTGAATAATCCTGAAAGCGTACGGATATTCTTGAATAAAAATTGGATGGTATAAGTTTTAATTATCAAGCGTGATACGAGCAGTATGATAATTGGCAGTTAAAATTTGAAAAGCAATGGCTGATGTTAACCACTATCATGATTACTGAATGCATAGCTTGGAAGATCAAATGTTGACAAATATTTCCAACATTTAGTGTTTCATTCTAAGGTGCTGGAAGATTTTTCTTTTCTCCATTGTGACACTTTTCGCAAAAACAGCTTTTCAGAACTGGAAGCAGTGAAGTAAATGAGGGGTTTCGGAAATATTTTTGAATTTTCAATGTTTTTAATGGTTATCGAAGTGTTATTATCTTCATAGAGAGAGAAGAGCGGTTGTATTTTAATTGTGATGCTTATGACAGTTTATTTTGTTTCAGTTTAATCGACTTCAGTGCATTTGTAAAGCGGCTATGCCGAACGTCATACCTCTAATTGAGCAAACTTATTATCCATCATTTAATCATTTTGTAAGTTGTGTTATTCAGAAATTTATTTATTTGTAATAATAAGTAATACAGAGAATTATCTCCTTTCAAAAAAGAATTTGCAGAGTATGCAACCTCGGTTTCCGATTGTCATAAGCGTCGGGCATGGAAGTCACGGACTTGGAAAGGTGTAATTTCTTAGTGGTTTTTTTCCTGCAGGATTTTGAAGTTTTAACAGTAATGCAGACCATATTAATTTGATAAATTTATGCAATTTTACATGTTTTTTTTAATGTGTAAAAAATGTCTCAAGCTATTATTTGTAGATGAAAATCGAAGATGAAAATCATATGCTAGAAGTGGAAAATATGTTGCGAGCAATTAAGCCTGTGGAGGTTTTCACCGAACCGTTCATCCAGACAAAATATGATATACATTTGCAGGTGGGCATATTTTGTCCACATACTTTATAGCTGTTTTTATCGTTTTCAAAAGAATACAAATTTTTAAAAAAATATAAATTAAATCTTTGATTTCATGGAACGGTCTAAACTATCATTTTTTGGTGTTTATCTTTTCCATATAAGCTTCTATTAATTTAATAAATTCTTGAGGTCTTTGACGAAATTACTTTAGTAAATGCTTCATTCTTAGAAAATTGGTGCAGAAACAAGAGCTTATATTCGTAAAGGTATATCTAATGATTGGAAAAGTAATGCTGGTTCCGCAATGTTGGAGAAAATTTCTCTCTCAAACAAGTATATAATCTCTTAAAAATTATTAGCTTTTCTTAAAAGATTTTAAATTTAAACTTCAAATTATTTTCATTTTTCTCAAATTTATTTACTAGCTTATAAAATCCGAACATTCTAAACAAAGTTATCAAAAATATTTTTTATTTTTTTTTAAGAATTGAGTAAAATGAATAATGAGCCTCTAAAGATCCTTATTAGTTTCTAAAATTTCGTATGAAATAAATCGATATGAATATGAAATATGGTTTTAAAGGCGAAAGGATTTCCAAAATAATTATTGAAGGCAAAAAGAGTGGTTGACTACTATATCAGATGCATTCGGTGGACTGGAAGTATTCGGAATTGATATTTTGGTAGCAAAAGATGGAAGGGAGATAATACATGATGTAAATGATGTGATAACTTTACTTGGTGATAGCCAAGAGGATGATCGTAAAGCTATTGCTGATCTCGTCCAAGCACATATAATACAATCGTTAGTATTTGTTTTTTATTTTCTGTTCTTCAAAATCTATGAAAATAATTGGAAATAATTCGAGGTAAAGCTTAAGTTAAATAGTCAAATTCTGAACATGTTCAGATCCTGAGATTCTGAAGCTTTAATTCTCTGAACTTTGAATGGGTTATCCGGCTGAGTCAAAAATGTAAATTAACTCGTTAAATTTTATGCTGCATATACACCACTGCTTATAGTATTTCTTTGGGCTTAAAGCTTTAATGCCAGAAATGAGTCTGACCAAATTAAAAACATTTTTAAAGCGCTCAACGTGCTATGCAACAAATAGCAGTTGCAACACGTGTTAACATGCCTCCAGCTCCACCACCACGTCCTCAGTCAACGAATGTTTCACGATCGAATACTCTAGAAAAAAATATGTCAGGTAATTTTTTCATAGTTCTGGAATAAATTCGAAATTTTTGATTGACCCTCTCATGTTTTTAAAATTTCAAAGTGGTGAAGAATTGTGAAATAAAAAATATTTGTGAAACTATTTACTTTTCACGTTATTTATACCAAAAATCATAAAATCATGGATTGAACTTCGTATACCAATGGTTTCGCACATACTTTAACCAAAAATTTCGCACATACTTTAAAGGTGAAGCTACAGTGGATAGTGACGACAGGTTGAGTCGAAAAAGTTCTGCTAATCAGCCGCAAAGACCAGTAAGGCAGCCAAGTAAACAAGGAAAAGAATCAGCGAGTTCACAGCATCAGGATGATACAATGGGTCAGCTGAAACGCACATTTGCTGGAATTTTTGGCGAAGTCCAATGATATTTATTTTTTGTCTGCCTGCATGCTTTTCCCAACCACTTCGAATTCCAACGACACAAGTCTGTCTATCTTTTTCGCATATTATCTCTTCATGTCTACTACTTTTTGTCATACTAACACCAATGGTTAATCTGCCTAAAAAGTCATGTTTTAAACTTTTAAAATTGGAGAAACGGTGCTTGGCAAGTAAGGTGTTTGGTTACTAATGCCAGTAAATTAGGTTTATAGCTATCGAGAATAATAATTTAATTTCTAGCTTTAAACATAGCGATTTTCGCTTTCTCCGCGCTACTTTCTTCCTCGATGATTAGGACAAAACAGTTCCGAATAGTAGAATGAAATCAAAAGATGAACTAATATTAGGATGGTTTCATAGTGGACCAAAAAGTGAGCCACAGCCGGTTAGCAGTATTTAACACCTATCTCAAGTATTTCTATCGTTTATGATAAGGCTAAATTTGTGGAATCTCAGTTATTTTTAGAAATTTTCAGTTATTCTAGTAGTTTCAAAGATTTGGTCATCGATTCTTTACTGATTTAAAAATCGCTTTTGCTTCGATAACTCATTCAGTAGGAGGAACTGAATGAATATCACTGTTCGCTAGGAGAACTAGAACATTGAGAATAGAACAAATGTAATCCAAGAAAATTGAGAGATAAGAAAACATGCTACTACTGGACACTAAAAGAAGTGTCATGGTGAAAAATTTATTCACAAAACCAAATTGTCAAGAGTAAAGACAAATCTTGCATTGAGCGCAAAGATTACTATTGAAGTGTTAATGCATTTCATTTTCGTTAGTCTTATTTTCTTTCGTTTTTTTCCTCGATATTTTTTCATTGATATTTAGAGAATTGCAATAAATAATTAAAGGTGAAGGAATCATTAAAGTACAGGAGAGGAATTCTATTTGCAGATATCGTTCTGACAAGAGATTAATCAAAGAAAGATTTTCAAGTGTATTTCAGGTTTTACCAATTTAAAAATTTCTGAACAAGACTAGTGATGATTCTATTTAGTTGGTAAATCGTCCAATGATATTTAAAAAATATTGTACATTTTATGGTTATAAATTCTCTTTGAAATTGTGCTTCGATGAGGCAACCACAGTCCGTCAAAAAAGAAGGTCCTATACTATAAAGCTTAAAATAAGAAATGAAAATAATAGCAATTGTTGTGAAAATTATATGAAATAATGTCTTTTTTATATTTGCATGATAGAAAAGCATAGAAAAATTACTGAACAAATAGTCGGACATAATTATCAAATATGTTATCATTATTCTGATTATTTCACCTAGTGTTGAGGATAAAACATTGCAAGCAAAAAGTATGAAAAAGAAATATTTCTTCACTAGAGGAAATTAAAAAGTTAATACGAGGAGCAGCATTCCTCCAAGTAGAAATAGAACAAAATTCCAAACAAAATTTTACGTTTTAAATCATAGTTTAAATGTCAATATGGAATTGAAACTAAATAGTATTATAGAAGTTAATAATAAATATACCAAAGGATGTCAAAACAATTTTGTCCATGCAAATATTTTTCTTTTTATCTTTCAGAGGAAAGTTGAGATTCTTCTACTTTATATAGTAAAGCAAAAGACAGGAATTGCAAATGAAAAAAAGAAGCCTCATGAATTCGTTTTTATAAATCGGGTAGATAATTCATCTACATTAAGAAATCATCCAGGTTTTTGGTATTAAAAAGGTTGACTATACATAAACCTCATTATATTTCATTGAAGTCCTTTTGCATGTTGCATATTCGAACTTAACTATACATTTACAGCAGACTTACATGATATTCTATTTCTGATTTTTGTTTCTTGATTTCTAAAAATGGAAATTGCATAAATTAATCACAACTTCAGTTGACAAGAAAAATGCGACTCAGTCATTTCTGGACAGTATGAAATTTAAAAATGAATTGCACAGGGGGATTAAGTTAGAGTATTTCTAACATATCAAAAATTAATTTCTTACTGTGTACAGTGGTGGTGATGATGATGGTTCATTGTATGTTTATGTTACGAGGGTAAGAAATTAAAAAAAAGTTTTTCGTTTTCGTTAATAAATCAATAACATGCAATTCCATAAATTCTGGAAATGGATTTTAATTATACTAGGAATTTAGTAGTAACTAAACACTGTTAATACTATGTACTTTGATACTCGATAGATAAAAACTGGGAACAATTGAAACGAATGGTTCAGAATATAACTTTGGTTTTCATGATAACCAACAAATAAAGTTAATTAAATCTTTACCGATGAACCTGGTATAAGCTCAAAGTTTGAAAATTTGAATCCGTATATGAATTGAAATTTGGACGAGTTTTTAAAACAAATGTATGGCACTCAAATCCAAAATATACTTCATTTGAGCTTATAGAGATCTCTACATTTCAAAAGATTTTAGAAACCAAACTCTCAACTTATTTCGATGTGATCTAGTTAAAAATGATGTTCGAAATCTTAACAGCCTAGTTGACAGAGTATTAAATAAAATCTTTATATTGTCAGTCAGTCCCACAACATGGGCTTGCATTACATTCGTGACATCGGTGCGACATTTAAGTGACCTCCTGTTAATATTATTTAACATTTTGTTACTTCTAATCTCAAAATGGGTTAATTTTTGGTATTGAATTCGAGCATTATTATCACATTTACCATAGTTATCATTTAGGCAAATCTTTGGATCTTTCCAGGGCCAAAGTACATGATATTTTCCATCTAGTTTAGTGTTTGTTCCTTTGAAATGTCTTAACTCTTGCTCGTCATCATAAGTATTAGGGTTTTCTATTTCTGAGATCATAGTGACACTGTTTCATCGCTTTGATTTGAAACAGCTGTCCCCAATTTATATCTTCATCATAATTGTGAAATCTGTTGATATATCCTCTTCCAGTTATTATAGGACCAACCTTTGTATGGATTACGTAGAATCCTGATGCCATTTAATGAGCTTCATTTGGCAAGCTTTTCTTGAGCTATTATTTGTGGCAAACGCTGGCGATTTAAGTTAATTACTTGTAGTTTCTCTGTTAGGTAATTTAATTCGTAAGTATCAATGATTATAATTTCGGAGTTCAAGGTTCTTACTCCGATTCCTAATTTTGTAGTTCTTCGATATGATTTCGGAGTTTTGCTACCAAATGAGAAGAGTTTCAGATTTTCTCTTTTGGTTCTGTCTCATTTCAATCGGTTTGCCAACTGTTTCGATATAAAGAATGATTATGAGCCAAATGTCAAATAATGCCAAAGCTTTTTTGTTGAATTTCTGAGTGGTATGGATTGGCTACCCCCATATCCTTACATAAAAGTAAAATTCACAATTTCTTTATTGAAATTTACTTGTTGTGAGAATTCTCTATATTTCAGTGGACAATGTCGTAGCAATACAATAGAAACAAGAAGGTTTCTTCTGTTGCATTCAGTTGATTTATGCTCTATTCGATGATATTTGAAACATGTCCTTGTTACGAAATGCGCATGGTTTTCTAGTTTTTCTGCCGATAGTTTCCTTTAATTCTGAAAGTTGACTTAATTGATTTCATTGAATTATTGATCCATTGTAGATAAGGCTGAAGTTTCATCATTAGCATTAATTTTAATTTCTCCCTGCTTATAGTTTGATTTCGAGTAACTTCTTCGTTTCTGGTACTAATTCTTTCAAAAATTGCTGGCTTTTATGAACCGACCACCCTGCTGATTCTGATTTCAATTGGTACATTTTGTTCAGTATCCAAGGAAGCGTAGCTTGTTTTCTATTGCAATTTAAACACTGGAGTGTTTCAAGTTATTGATGGCTTCCAGTTGTCGAAATATTCTTACCATGGTTTCAATGATTGCTTTCCATTCACGATCATATTTGAAAAGTGACAATGAAGAGTTTACCGTACTTCTTTGTTAGTATGCCTCTTACGACTTTGTAATTTTTTGGTGCAATGTCGTAACCCTTCACTGCTAGCAATGAATCATTTTTAAGACATGACATCAGATAGTTTAATTTCTGAATGTCTGGGATGTTTTCATTATGAACTGCTACTTTGAAACTGCTCCAAAATTGTCTCTACAATTTTGGATCGCAACTAAATTTACTCGTGTAACTGTGGAAGGTTTACTGTTGCGTGATTGGTTGAGATCACTCTTCCCTAAAATTGATACTCCGGTGTCATGAAGATAAGTCATGAAGATTTAGTCGTTGAAGCACTACTTCATAGTGCTCAAGGATAAATGTTTAAAGTGATGACAGCTTCTCTTGCGTCAGCTATTAAGTTTAAAATACCTCGTGGATCATCGACCATTTTTGAGTATTTCCTTCCCTCACTTCTTCTTTGTGATGCGTTTATCGTATTCTGGATTAGATCCGACCATTTTTGAACAACTGTTTTGAGAATATTAGTATGATAATCAAGACGTCTTTTTTGATGATTCGCAGTTTGATTTCGTACTGTTAAAGTTTTCGTGGAAGTGTTTGCTCTGGCTGGGTTACATCGAATTCATTTACTTTTTGAATCTTCGACTTTGGTATTTCGGCTCCTTTTAACAAAGTGTCAGACATACTTTAGCTTAAGTACCAAATAATTTGTTATGAAACTTAGGGCTTCTTACTTTTGTAGCTTACAGTTGAATCAATTTTGTATGTCGCGAATTATAATTTCGCGAAAACTTCTAACTAATTTCATGCTATCATAAATCATCTCTTCTTTTTAAATTGTAAACAATCCTACGGCATTCACACATGTAATTTTTATCTCCTTTTTGTAAACACCTCCAATTCTTCATGCATGTAATTTTTCTGTAAAATTGAAATTAGCTTTCATTTTAATCTTTTCGTTGTAAACACTTCCAATTCTTCACACATATAATTTTTCTGTAAAATTGAAATTAGCTTTCATTTTAATCTTTTCTTTGTAAACACCTCGAATTCTTCACACATGTGATTTTTATCCTAGACACGCCCAATCCTCACTCATATAAATTCAATTCT